GATCTCCATTTCTGTGGCTCCACTCCTGTTTTAGCTGTCCACTTAGTTTGCTTTTGTTTTAGGTGTGGTTGTTAATAACTGTGAGTTTGCTGTCCTTTCATTGCTCATATTTTTTATCTTCTTTTTATTAGATAAGTCCCTTTAACATTTTATATAGTAAAGGCTTGGTGATGATGGACTCCTTTTTTAATTGGATTGTTTGTCTTACTAGTATTGAGTTGTATAAGATCTTTATATATTTTGGAATTTAAATGGTTATCAGATGTATCATTGGCAAATGTGTTCTCCCATACAATGTGTTCCTTTTTTCTTAACTCATTACTGTATTTAAAAATATATTGTCATATTATTAATTCAAGCAGCTTTTTAGTGACAATTTAGGTGGGTAAAAATTTGAATGTTGTTATATGCATAGTAATTAAATAATACAATAATATAAGTATACAATAAGTCCTTACTTGACATCATTGATAGATTCTTGGAAACTGTGAAATGCAAATGTCATTTCATATGTCATTACATGTCATTTCAAGCTAAAGACATATAATAAAACTAATTTTATCACTAGCTAATTGATATAAACAAGAGTAAGTTCCTACTGCACATTTCTGGTCACAAAAACATCACCAAACTTCTAAATAAAGATGGAAAACACTTGTTATATTAAACATTGAAATAAATGTGAGCTATATAACATTTCATAAAATTAATAGAAACAAGTAGAAAAATCTATTTTCCACCCACTTGTTCCATTTCAGGGTTCAGGGTAGCTGGACCCTACCCTAGCAGCTCACATTTTCATCACAGGGCACACAGGGCACACACACACCCAGTCAGACTGGGACAGTTTAGGCACCTGACTTCATCTGACATGCACATCTTGTGGATGTGGGAGAAAACTGCAGTGCTTGCAGAAAACCCATGCAGACGTGGGAGAACATGCAAACTCCAGACAGACACACAGTGGCCTGGGCCACAGTAAATTCTCCTCATCAACATTGCAATGAAACATTGAATAAAGCAACATTGTTTGAGGACCTACTACATATATTATATAATATATATTTGTAATATATAAATATATACACACATATATATGTGTGTATGTGTGTATATGTATATATCTATATATAATCTCACAACTTTATGATATTTATTGTTGCTACTGAGAATATACTGTCAGTAAAACTGCTATTCCTTTGTAAGTAATGTATCACCCCTCTGGGTTGATTCAGTAATTTTTTTTCTTTGCAGTTTTAGAATATTAGCAAATGTGTATTTATTTTTCAAAAATATATTTGGCTTATGATTCAAGTTTCTTGAATCTGAATATAATTCAGCTATTATTTTTTTAAACATTCCTCTTACCCTATTTTCTGTATTCTAATTTGTAGTATATTGGGTCATCTCATTCAATTGTCTTTATCTTTTCACTTCTATTTCACATTTCATTGTCTTTCAAATCATACTATTTTTATTTTATTTTTCCTCTTGTCCTATTTTTATTTTTTTTAATTATTTTATTGTTCAGTTACAGTTGTCTGTGTTTACCCCCCACCACTGCCCCCCACCCCAGCCAAACCCACTTCCCTCTCTTCCTTCCAGCCCACCCCTTGGTTTTGTCCATGTGTCCTTTATAGCTGTTTCTGAAAACCCTTCTTCTCATTATTCCCTCCCACCTCCCCTCTGGTTACTCTGAGGTTGTTCTTAATTTCAATATTCCTGGTTATATTTTGCTTACTTTTTTCTCCTGTTGATTAGGTTCCAGTTAAGGTGAGATCATAGATTAACCTCTTCAACTTTATCTTTATTTGGCCAATTCTCAACTAAACTTTTCCAATCTTTCAAAATATGTTATTCTTTTCTTTATGTCTTTTTTTTGCAACTAAGAAACCATTGTCTAATACAAGGTCAGAAAGAGGGCATTATTATGCTAAGTGAAATAAGCCAGTCTATGAAAGACAAATACCGTATGATCTCACCTATAAGAGGAAGTTAATGAACAAAATGAACTAAGAACAAAATAGATCCACTGGCATGGGAACATGGAAGAGACACAGAAAGTGACCAGAGGGGAAGGAGGAAGAGGATAATGGTTGAAAGAAAGGGAAGGGACTAGACAAAGAACATGTATGAATGACCCTTGGACATGGACAACAGTGTGGGAATAGGCTGTAGGAGGAAGTGTTAGGATGGGTGGAGGAGGGCAAAGGGGGGAAAATTGGGACTACTGTAATAGAATAATAATAAAAAATAATTTAATAAAATTAAAAAATTTACCCCTATCTTTTCTCCTAATAGTTTTATAGTTTTTCTTTTTCATTTAGGTTTTGGATACATATTTTTTATTGAATTTATGGGGGAAACATTAGTTAATAAAACCATGCAGTTTTCAAGTGCACAACTCTATAAGACATCAGCTGCATACTTACTGTGGTCTCACCACCCAAAATAAAGTCTCTTTTTGTTACCGAACAAGAGATCCGAGGGGGGGGCAATACAATATTTGGCCCACCTAGGGATGCCGAAAACTGCTAAAGAACAGGGGTCCCTCCCAAGGACAGAATACTAATATCTACTGGGCTCTTCTGTCCACCGCCAATTGAAAAGACATCTCTCAATGCCAGAGATTTGTGAAAAGGAAACAAAATGTTTATTTAATGCTATTTAGGCTTAATGCCTCCACTAAAATATCTAAGTCCTGTAGGGTATACACCTATACCCACACAGCGCTCCCTTCTCCCACTGTCCCAACTCCGGGTACCGTAAATCAGGAAAAGAGCACACGTTTCAGGCCGCTGGCACCGTCAGCTGTGTCAGGCAGGATCTCTAGTTAATCCAAAGTACTGTGGTACCCTCTCATGGTCCACTGGCAAGAGTTCTTTGTACCCAGTTCCAGTCAAAGTCTCTCTTGCTTTCCAGGCCACACGGCCAAAGGGGGCACCCCAAAGCCACGTGGGCCTCTTCTACCAAAGCTGAAGGGGTTCACACTCCACCAAAAGCATGTGGCTTTCTTCTTCACCTGGCTGCAGGGATCTCCATTCTGGAAAAGCTGCCAGTGGTTTTCCCTTTCACCTGGGAAAGAGGGGGTCTGCACTCTGCCAAAACCACATGGCTCCCTCTTTCTCCTCACCAAGAGGGGGTCCTCACTCTGCTGAAACTGCGTGCCTCTCCCCTACATGACTGCAGGGGTCCTCACTCTGCCCCAAACTGCATTGCCCTCTCCTCACCTGGGCAGTTCTCCCCTCATGTCCCAGAGCCAATCTTTTTCCAAGCTCTCACACAGGGGCTCTCTCTCAGGGGCACAGCCCCTAGTTACATCCTGGGTAGAAGCCACTCCCTTCTCCCTGGCTCAGAACTTGGCCACAGCTATTTAACATATCTATGAAACCAGTTAAGGGTTATAGATATGTTAAATGACCATTCCAGAGGTTAGCTGCAAAACTGTTGCTATGCAAAACAGCTCTCAATGGCCCTGGTTCTATTTGTCCCTTCCCCCTGGGGGTGGTGGTGAGAACATCTTATATGTCTCTCCAATATTCCTATACACTTTGAATTCTGGACACCATTCCAAATCTTTTTTGCCCCCCTCCCTTTGGCTGCACCCTGTATCAGTCCTTCTTCAGAAACAATGCATTTCTGAGGCTGTCACCTCTGGCCTACTCACTTTCAAGCCACTTTCTTGGAGCCAGTATTGTTTCAATGACATTCTTGGTCTTGGATGAATATTTTAGAATTTAGTGTAGATTTTTGGGTTTCTGGGGATTCTATTGGTGCCATGTATATTTCTTCCACACTCCTCTCCTCTTTTCCACTGAATTTTTAAAACTTTTACCTACACTCTGAACCCAGAGTTGGTAATAATTGTAATTCTTTTATCTTTTAAAAATAATTTGAAAATGTGCCAGTCTCTGTCTATTAATGTCGAAAGAGAGTTCCGCTGTCATTTCATTTACACTCCTGATGTTATGGCTCCTTTGGGAGGATGTATGGTGAGATTCAGAATCAGATAGCCATTATTTTCCTGGGGACAATAAGAATATATATACACACACACATCCACGTTTATATGTGTACGTATATGTGTTTGTGTGTATATGTATGTGTGTACATGTGCATGTTATATATGCACAACATATACACACATATTGGTCTGCAACCTCAGGAGTTCTCCGGGTGGTATCTGAAACTAGTCCCATATATGGAGGACAAGAGGAGCATGAAGAAAGAGGCACACCACTCCAGATTTGTACATGGCAGGTTTAATAAACAAGGGAACTTAAGTGCAAGTCTTGCCTCTGGCAGCAAGTAGATCTTCACACCCACCTGGCAGAATCTTAAAATGTTTATATAAAGTTCTGAGCTGGTTTAGTGCCAAATACTGTCCAGATGGTCTCAACAACACTACTCTCTTGAGGCTGTGTCCTTGAAGCAGCTCTCAGTGTGTGACTGGTGGGTGGAATGTACATGTTAAGGACGGGGCAGGGGATGAGGAGCCTCTGCTTGCCTGGGTCTAGATTGCTGGTCAATCTTTGATCGTGTTCCCTTGATGAACCTTAACAGTGTGTGGATTTAGTTGCTTGCAGTTGTCACTCTGATTGTATACTTTGGGGAAGATGTAATTAACTGGTTTTCATTTTCATAAGATATATCCAGGTTTTTATATACTTTTTAGTTGACCACACTAAAGACTTTCTTTTGAACAATTTTTTTCAGACCACTCTGTCAATATTTTAGGAAGGAAATTGTATTATTTGCAAGTAATGATGAATTTTAATTATTTCGTATACATCTTTTCTTCATTTACTAGTTGAATTCTATTGTACAAAATTGACATTATAAGAAATGTTTTAGTAAATAATTTCAAAAGCTGATTGGAAGGAGCTTAACTTATTTCTTATTTTGACAGCAATTGCATACTTCAAAAAGAATTATTCTTCCATGTTTATAAACAGAATTTTTATTTTTGTTCCACACAAATATCCTTCTGGGATTAAATGTCAATTACTTTGGGGGTTAAGAATCCTTAGTACACATTCTCTCATTTGTTTTGGTCTGACCCCATAGATTATAGGGTTAAGAGCAGGGGGAACAATCACATACAGATTGGCCAGAAGTATGTCGATATAATGTGGGAGGTTGTGACCAAGTCAGTGTGTCATGAAGGAGAAGAGGGCTGGCAGGTAGAAAGCTAACATGACACATGCATGGGAGCTACATTTTCTCAGAGCCTTGAGCCTGGCATCCCAGGATGGGAGATGGAAGACTGCTTGGGGGATTTGAACATAAGAAAATCCAATCACAGAAAGGTCAATGTATCCCACTGAGAAAGCAATCAAGCAATATATAACATTGACCCTAATACTGGCACAAGCCAATTTTGGTAAGACCATGTGTTCATAATAGGTGTGGGGGATAATCCGCATACCACAGAAAGGCAACGTCAGGATAAGAAATATAAACAGAGTCATAAACACCAAAGTCCTGACTATGATGACTGTACCTAGAATGGCTATTACTTTATTGGTAAGGATCATGCTGTATCTCAGGGGGTTGCAGATGGCATATAGTGATTGATGGCCATAACTGTCAGCACCACAGACTCTAGGCCAATGCATACATGGATAGTGTACATTTGTGTGATGCAAGCACCAAATACAATGTCCCTGAGATTGAACCAGAAAATGCCTAGCATCTTGGGGATGGTGGCTGTGGGCAGGCCAAGATCAGTGCAGGGCAACATGGCCAGGAAGTAAAACATGGGTTGGTGGAGGCTGTGTTCAGTCTTGGTCACAAAGAGGATAGTGATGTTCCCCAGGAGGGCTATTAGATACACTGCAAAGAAAGGGAAACCTATCTAGATACGTATATCTTCCATCCCTGGAATGCCCATCAGAAGGAAGGAAGGAGAGTGGAACTGGGTATTGTTGGGATGCAGCATATCAGTGAAGGTTGGTTATAGACACATTTCTTGCAGGAGTTGTCTTGCTTCCAGTGAGAGAAACTAACCTCTTTCATAGCATGTTGCTTACTTTCTGGAGAAACAGAAAAACCATTCTTTAATTCCATAATACAGCAGAGGAGACCTAGAGAAAAAATGGGGGGCACAGTTAAAAAGACACTCTCATATTCTTTTCATGATATTTTACTGGTCATTGTTGTACCTGTGGAGAATAATAAGTTTGTCCTCCAAATTTATATCAACTCAAAAGTTGGAAAAATAACACACATTCTACTCTGGGTCCCACTTATATGTATAGCTATAAAATTTCTTTTAATTCATCAAGCACACCCAGTTTAGAAAGGCCAGGGCCATCATCATTTGTACAGCTGGCCTCACCAGATATTTTCCATCAAAAGAACATCTCTAAATGGCAATACAATGTCAGCGCTGGCTGCCTCCCAGAGAAAGTTAATCATAACACCAGGAGTTAGAAAAAGTCTACAGAGATTTCCGAAGTATTGCATTTCCTTACCCTAAACTTCACATTCTACCCATCTTTCATTAAAATAAAGACACTCTCACTTAAAAATATTTGCTTCACCTATGTAGAAAACCATGCAGAAAATTTCTAAATACAATAATTCTGTACTTCTCATGTCTTTTTCCTCTTCAGTCTCTAGAAGAACCTGATTATTATATTAAATTAACAGGTATCTGTTGTTCATTACATCTGTTAATCAGGATGTTAAGCATAAACAAGGTTGTGTGTATGTATGTGTGTGTGTGTGTGTGTGTGTGTTAGTGAGTATAAAATGTCACTGGACTGGGATTGAGGTGAAAATGATGACTCAGATAGTCTCATCAGCTGGTCTGATGGTTTAAGGTAATGATACATTTTTGCAAAGTAGACCTGAAAAAAATTTTATGTGGGAGAAAACTCAATAAAGGTAAAGGATTGGATAGCTGGTATTTGAATCCTAACTAAGCAATGGAATTAAGACATTTAGACACATCAAGAGACTATTATATAATTTCAGCAAAACAGTGGTCTCTCTTAGAACCACAAAGTCTGACATGTTCCTGGAGGATGCTTTCCTGATGAAGAGTTAAATAAATTGATACCTGAAGGATGAGAATCCATTAAGAGGTGAAAGAGGGAATTGAGCAGAGAAAATATTTCTAGTTAACAGGAACAGGGTGCAAAGACAGTGATGGGATCATGTAGGCCCTTGTGGCTAATTTTAAGAGGTTTTATCTTCATCCGAGAAACAATGGGAAGAAACTGTAGGATTTTATGCTGCAGTGTAGTAAGTAGCACAATTGAATTTGCATTTCAAAAATGCCATTCTGGCTGCACTGTCAAAAACTGTATTAAAGGCAGCAAATGCATGTGTAGTTGCATCAGTTAGGTTATCACAGGGGTCCAGAGTGAAGACAATGTTATCTTGTACCATATTGTTAGTGACTGATCAGAGCAGGTCAACTTTCTAAGTGTTTAATAGTATTAGTCTTCAGAAAGAGCCATCAAATCTATTGTTTTCTCCTTCACAACTACTGAGTTAATTAAGTTGTGCATAACCTTTCATCTGAACTTTTTCTGTAATTCTTTCCTCTTTATTAATGGCCCTCATTGGTTTTCCTTTTGAAATCATATGACTGATCAGTACAGGATGGGGCAAAAGTAGGCTTATGGTTGTGAGTACACAAAAAAACAAAGAGTTTAGTCTAGTATTATTGTTTATTAAAAATTATTGTATTATTTACTATACAAACAACTGTAAACCTACTTTTTACCCACCCTGTAATAATATTATTAATAAAATATGATTGAGAAGCAGTGATTCACACTTTTAGAAAAGGGGGGAAGGGACTCTGTGCAGATTTAGGGGAGAAGGATTGGGGACTTATGCATAGTTTGAAAAGTCCTCTATTCACTCCTCAGGGTGGCATTTAGGATGGGCAGGGAGGTGGAGGCTATTTACCTGGTGGAATTTGTTATTTTGTTCCTGCAAAAAATGATCAAGTTCATCTATCAAGGACCTAAAATCATAAAGATTTTTACATATTCTAATAACTGCTCCCAATGGTTTAAGTTTTCTTCCTTTTCTATCCAGGATCACCTGCAAACTTTACCACCACCACCACTCTCTGCCCTCATCTGTTACTTTATAGAAGTTTCCAGTTATTAATCTTTAATTCACTTAACAAATATGTATATCTGCCATGTACCACTACAAATGTAGGCAAGCAGCACAGATTGAGTCAAATTTGTGAAGCCTAAAGTCTAGCCAGTTATGCCAGTATTTTGCTTCTTGGCCTCACACAAGATTTCCACTGTCATAATAGTCCTTCCATTTTTTTAACAGTCTTTGTAAGGAAACTTTTGAAAAGGTGCTTTGGTATTCTGAATATATTACAAATTCAGAATAATCCTGGTAAATACTCTTATTGTCATTAGCAAAAGACATTGTCTGTCTAGATCACTGCCTCCGCAACACCCCTGTCTTCGCTGTGACCACCTCTGATGCAGTCATCCTCACCTTTTGTCTGTTTAACCATGCTTCCATGTGTGTTTTCTAAGTTTATCTTCAGCATAACTCTCTAAAATTCTCTCTTCCTGGTCCTTTCTCTTCCTTTTCAGACACTCAATTCCATGGGGTAAACTGAACTTCTCCTTGGGACTGGCTTTTATCTTGTGCAGCAGAATTGGATAAGCTCTTACCCAGGTTCCCAGGCTTCTCATCTCTCAACCCCTCTGTGTCCCATTTCTAAACATACTGTAACATTCTCTCACTAGGATGACTGTGCCCCATGTGAGAAATTCTCCTCTGAAGTGCCATAAAAGAAGGAAGTAGGGAAAAAAAAAGACCTTCTTTGTACCAGTGAAGAAAAGTTACCATTGGTATTTTTCCTGGTATTTGCAAATGACATTCTTTAATTGTATGCTGTGTTTACATATAGGTTCCTGGGTTTGTTTATATATTCATTTAGTGAGCATTGTGTTGTATGCTTCTGTGTTAGTAATTGATGGGTGGTTACGAAGCCAGTTATGGTCAGCACAACTCCAGTCTCTATTTTGCTGCATTACTTGGAGAGGGCACCATCTAAAGACTCTGGCTGAGTCCCAGGAGCTCCATCTCCCCCATGAATCACTTTAGTTACTGTCACTATGCACTCTCTTCCAGCATAACCAGGAGCTGACTCACTTACCTTTGCCGAGCATCTGAGAAATCGTTTGTGAGGAATTGGATACCACAGACTGCAACCTGCATGTGACCGAGTTCTCAATAGTCAGGGCCAAGGAGCTGTACAAACTCACTCTAACCCCTGGGAAGAGCCTCCACACTGTGGGTTGTTCCTGGGCCTGGAGTAATGGGACAGAAAATTCCCATATCCCTGAGGATCAAGCGCTATAATTTCTGATTAGAGATGCCTACTGGTTAAAGATGATTTAGAATTTGCATCCTCTCACAAATATCCTCCCCATTCGGTCCCAGGAGTCTAGTCAGTCAGAGGCATAATGGCCAAAAAACACCTTAAACCTCTCTATGGTATCAGGTGAACAGTAACTTTGAAAAGGCAAACAGTGAACATAGGGAAAGAGCACTATAGGCAAAAACAAAATAAAACAAAACAGTATTTTCTTAAAGTCAGCTCAGAAATATATGTACATTTAGTGAATAGCAGAGCCAGAATTCAAACATAAGTTTCCAGACCCTGACTTATACCTGTTCTAGGAATTACATTAGATGATTTTTGGGGTAAGAATATAGTGTTCTAAACACTATATATAATATTAATAGAAACATGAAAATAAATATACATTTACACAAAGGAAAGCAGCTCATCATATGCAGGGGACCAGTTTGTTTTGGCCTGGCAAATGTGACTCAGCTCTGTATGGAAAACCTACAGAAGCGAGGTGGTGGGCAGGAGCCAGACCTTCAAACCGAGTTCTCCCGTGGGAATCAGGCCTAGAAAAAGCATACAGATTGTTATGGCTTGCTCTTGCTAAAACTCCATCATCCTGGTCTAAAACAACAAATATGTATGTCTATCTTCAAGGTAATTTCCAAAGCCTGTATGAGTTTTCCCAAGGACAGAGCTAATGAGCTCATCACCATTCCCCTCTGCTTGTTATTTTTATTTTCTTGGTTGTACTTAAAATGTAGACAATAATATTCTATGTAATAGATAATAAATCTTTCTCTGATGTAAGACCCCAGGAAAACAATAAAAGCCTGTCTAGGGCAGGGTCGAGGCGCTCCCCTCTTGAGGGAGTGGCCGAGGCACCATAGGCACTCTCCCCTTGAGAGAGTAGTCGTGCCTGTTCCCTTTTTCCACACAGGATTGTTGTCACCTGTGCAATGATTCTCGTCGTAAACCACAACAGGCGGACTCTGCTGGCCAGGGTCCACCACAATCATACATACTTAGAACATAACCATTTTGTCCACCTACTTATTCTGTGACTTTGGCCAATTTATTTTGTTATTCTGAGCCTTGTTTTTTTTTCTCACAGGCAAAATGAGGAAAAATTATATTGACTTACAGGATCATTGCTTTAATGATCCTAGGGGATCATACCTAGAAAGTGCTCAGCAACTATTATTATAAATTAGTTAATAAATAAACACTGATTATTATTGTAATTATTGTATAACATTATCCCTGAAGTCAACATTTTGGGGTCAGATAACTTAAATTTAAATCCCTTTCCTGTGATTCCAAAGCTGAGAGATGTTAAACATATTTATTAACTTTTCTAAGACTCATGTTACCCCTATAAATTCACAAGGGTAATGAAAATGACAACTCACATTTCATATGTTTTTTCCTCCAGATTAAGTGAGATAATGCATTTAACTAAAATAGCAACATTTGAAAATAGATTCAAGCTATTATTAAAATGGGTATTACCTTTATCACTTATTTGAAATGTTAATAGATGTTTTTCTTTTGGTGTCAAATTTAAATAGAAAAACTAGTTACTTTTTAGTTCACTAGATTACTCATTTTTATTTTATTTATTTATTTTAAATACTTTAGATTTTTATTGTTCAAGTTTTGTTGTTCAAGAAATGTATTTAACTTCTCCACTAGATGTCAGCAATGCTAATGTGACAAGGAAACATTCCTTAATTCAAAATACGTTTACTAAGCTTCTGCCCTAAGTTAGACAACACATTAATTAAGTGTTTGATACGTGTAAGTCAAAATAATAAAACTTTGCTTGTCGTTTTAGCATTTTATGTAGTAATGGTCTAATCTACTACATTTCTTGAACAGATAATGAAAGCTCTCATGTGAGCTACCAGGTGTGCTAACTGTAACTTTTCAAGATATTTTACATACATACTTTATTTGTGTAGCTCCAAAGTTAATAGCCATCTCTACTTCAGAGAGCTTTAATTTGTTTTATGATAAATGAGTGTAAAAAAAAAGTTAGTGCCTCTTCTTAATTATTTGTAATAGTTTATAAAAATTTTGATATATCTGGATATACTTTTTTATATTAATGTTTTAGAATTTGGATATTAGTTAAAGCTTTATTTTTTATCTTTCTTATTGTTGTTCAAGTACAGTTGTCTCCATTTTCACCCCACCACTCCTCCCATCCTTGAGCCTATGCCCTCTGGCTTTGTCCATGTGTCCTTTATACATGTTCCTTGATGGCCCTTCTCTTATTATCCCATAGTAAAGCTTTAGAAAGCTCAATGTTTTCCTCAATAACCTTAATCCTTATAAAACATATAAAAGAATACTACTGGTATATCAGTTTTTTCCTTCATGCCACTTTTGGCCTTAGAGAGAAAATACTCAAAAATTATGTGAGAATATATAGGAGTACAAACATAGAACATGGACAGCAATTACATGATTATTTTAATTTCTTCTTTGAAAAAAATTTTAATGTTTAAGGAAAATATACTAAAATTTATTTCAAGGTATATTTCTCCATGTGACTTTTTAAAATATCAGTATTCTTTTGGATAACTCTTGAGCTATCTAAAAGGATAAAAAGAAATTCAAATTTCTACTAAGAAAACTCTGAGAACAAAAAGAGGCAGTACCCAATACTACAGATATAATCCTGATGGAATAGTAGAGAATAGTAATTGAAGGAGAACACATAAAAATCCTGGCCTTCAAGTATATGTTTAGAATTTTCCTCCAGTTCTTCAGTTACATAGGCCAATGTGCTGGCTACCTCCTCTTTGCCCTTCTGGGACCACTCCACACTGCATTCTGCAGGACTCACAGTGCACATGGGTAGTCTCCCTTGCCCTTTGGCATTCACTTGGGTTCAGAAAATGGAAACTACCAAGAGGAGGGTAGGAAGGAAAAAAAGTCAGGATATTTATTCTTGTTTCCACTTGCTCTGTGCTTACAGATAGCCTGCTGGGCACCATTGGCTGGGTCAGTGTTTCAAAATAAGTCCGAACTCCTGCCTATAAGAGTCTTCACAATACTAACTATCTAGTCCCTTCTCTTCAGGCCAAGGTGTTGTAAATATCTCTCACCATGGCTTCCCTACATGTACCTATCATTTGTAAAAACTTAAGGGGTTTACCTTCTTTGCCACTATTTTTCCAAAACTTTGACTAATATGGCCAATAAGAAGATTTACTTTTGTCCATGTGTCTGTGTCCTTTATACATGTTCTTTGACAAAGCCAAAGGATGTAGGTACGAGGGTGGGAGGCAGGCGTGGGTGGGGTGGGGGGTGTTGTGGGAGAAAAATGGGGACAACTGTATTGAACAACAATAAAAAATGATCATTAATATTAACAGCTGATTAATAAATAATTTAGCAGTTCAAAAAAAGAAGCTTTACTTTTTCTTGAAGATTCTTCTACTTAAACCTAATTGTAATTTATATAATAATATATCATAAATGATACATACTGTATACACAAACATATGTGTATGTATATGTGCATGTTAATATATACAACTTATATATAATTTTATTGGTGTTACTGTTTACTTTTGTTATAGGCAGTTTTATCTTTGAAGTTCCATTTCTCAAAGGCTTTTGAACTACACTCAAATATATCTCAAAACAGCTAATTTTGTAGTATTAGGAAAGACATATATATACTTCTCAAAATATTTAAAAATGGCTAATAAGTACTGAAACCAAAATCGATATTATTATTCATCAGAAAAATTAAAACTATAATGACATACTGAGTCTTATGCACAAAGAGTAGCTGAAATTGAGGGTGGAAAAATTAGAACCTTTGTATTTTGTTCATAGGGTATAAAACCATGAAACCACTTTTGAAAAGTGTTGGAAATTTTTTAAAATTTAAACTTGGCAACTGGAAAATGGAAAGACCTGAAAGCATCTGGAATTTTTATAAGTTTTACCAGGGTAATATTAAGGTTCTGACTAAATATTATGAGTTATGGATCAATTTACCAATTGAGTGGATCAATATTGAAACAGAGTCAAGAAGATACATGTGGATTAAACTTCATGAAAATTTATTTCTTTAAGTTATACTAAGTATGTGTTGGTGGGTAACATAAAGTTAGAGGTAAACAACACTAGTATCCAATGAGCTAGCCTGGCTTTCATGTTCTGTAAAGTACCCTGTGATTCACAAAGAGATACCAGTGAGAAGGAGTATCTCGGAGAGTGGGAGAGGTTTATGGAAAACGACATTGTTTTGGAACATTTAATCTAATAAAATATAATTAACTCTGGAGTCATTGTATTTTTATCTTGTCACCATTTCCTCAGTTATTTTTATCTTCTGCATATATGTATTTTCTTCCTATATATATTCGCTATTAAGCATGCATGTAAATACATTTAATATTCTCATACGCAGTAAAGTCATGCCCTATTTACTATAATATTTAGCATGTTTGTGTTACACATACACATAGCTTTGTACATAAATCAGTACTCAAACTGCATACAGATTATTTCTAGAACTTTGTGGCCATGCTTCAGATTCAGGAAAGCATTACTTCTTTGACTCATGCCACAAGAGAAGAGTGGGAAGTGAGAAGTTGGGCATTCAGAAACCAAATGTAAAAACTTTTGCGGGACCAGCCCCGCCACTGTGTATTGTGCCTGGGACAAGTATTTTTGTGGGATCACAGACTATTTGACTAAAAAATGTATTACAAAATTTATGGACCTATGTGATATATAATATTTTATTAATGAAGACTTAGGATAATAGGTAGAAAACAATTATACATTTGACTGTTATCTCATCACTGCACATAAAGATTCTTTCCAGTGTTCAGGCATTTTCTTCTTTTCTGTTTAGTTTTGTGAAGTATCTATTTATGCTTTTTTATTGTAAAAACAGGCCATTTCTGGACATTTCAATTCTTCTGCTACAATAGAAGGTACTCACACTGTTACTATTCTCAGTGCTGCCAATTTTCAGAATAATATAGATCATCTTGCCTCTAGCATTTCCAAATTCCACTTATTTATTAGGTCAGTGTTCCATCAGGATCAAAACTGACCTAAAGAGAAGACATATGGAGAAATGGGGGGAGTTTATACCCTTTTCCACCAGCCATTCAATTCCCCCAAACACTGCTGCCTCTAGAATATCTTTCTTTTCTATTAGTCTTTTCCATTTGTCCAGTTTCATAGTGCTGGGTGAGCAGAGTGGGCAGCAAAGACAGCTTTGCTTTATCTGTCAACACTAAACCACTTTCAATATAAATGCAAAATCTGGCCAGCATTATCTAGTATAATAGAAAATTTAAGAGAGCTCAGATTAAATATGAGTAGTTGGTGAATATATTTTCTCAGTCTTTACACTAAACTATTATTTCTCTACAAATATTTTTATAACGCGCTCCCGGATCTGCTTGGTCCTGACTCCATAGATGACGGGATTAAGGGCAGGTGGGACAACCACGTATACATTAGCCAAAAGAATGTGGATATAATGGGGAATGTTGTGACCAAAGCGGTGTGTCATAAAAGAAAAAAATGCTGGTGTGTAAAAGCACAGCATGACACAAACATGCGAACCACAGGTATTGAGAGCCTTTAGTCGGGCTTCCTGAGAGGGAAGGCGGAAAACAGCTCGAAGGATAAGCACATAAGAAGAGGCAATCAGGATCACATCTACAATAATATTAGAAATAACCATAAGCCCATAGATAATGTTGACCTTGATGGGGGCACAGGCCAGCCTGGCAAGACCCATGTGCTCACAGTATGTGTGAGGGATGATGTAATGTCCACAGAAGGGCAGCCTCAGAATGAGAAACACAAATGGAGTCACAAGAAGTAAATTTCTCCCAACAACAACAGATAGTAGGATGCTGATGGTTTTATTGGTGAGGATCACTGTGTACTGGAGAGGGTTGCAGATGGCAACAAAACGGTCATAAGCCATGGCCACCAGTAGAACAGTCTCCATGCCTGTAAACATGTGGATAAAGAACATCTGAGCTAGGCAGCTTCCGAAGCTGATTTCTTGGAGGTTGAACCAGAAGATGCCCAACATTTTGGGGACTGTGGATGTGGAGAGACCCAGGTCAATCACAGACAACATGACCAAGAAGTAGAACATAGGCTGGTGGAGACTGTGTTCAGTCTTGATCACAAAGAGAATGGTGATGTTTCCCACAAGGGCAACCAGGTACACAATGCAGAATGGGAAAGCAATCCATATATGTACAGTTTCTAGTCCTGGTATTCCTAGTAGGAGAAAGAAGAGGGGGTGGAACTGGGTATCATTGACAGAAGGCATTCTCTTAGCAAGTGTTATTAAATTCCTGTTGAGGAGTAGGATCTTACTTTAAGGTTTTTTTCTTATCAAGGTCCTGGAAAGAGAGAAAGACCTCAAATCAGTATGCTGGAGATGATGGAAGAAGCAATTAATTTAAAAACATTAGATATTCTTTTCTTTTACAGGATAATTGACTAACTTTCTCAGTATATGTTTTTGTTGTGAGTCTCATCATAGGCAGTATTGTTCATGACTTTACTTTTTGTGATATGAGATATTTGAAGGAACTAAGAATATTTTTAACAGTAGGGTATATTTACATTTTGTGGCATTTCCTTTCATCCCTTTTCCAAGAGTCCACTTGGTTAATTTTGGGAATGTACTATACACAGTTGTTCTCAAAATATGCTCTGGTGTTGAAGGAATCCTGAGTCTATATTACAGATGGCAAACACAAGGCCCCAGGGCCGAGTCCAGCCCTCCACCTTGTTTTATCTGGCCCAGCACCTTGTTTCTACCTAGCGGCAGTGCTGAGCTCTCACTTAACTTAAGGAGTAGTGACATTTATACAGTCTTAAACTTATATTTGGCCCTTTGAAGGCAACCACGAGGCTGATGTGGCCCCAGTGAAAATGAGTTTGACACCCTTGTTCTAATGAAAATATTTGACTTATACCATTCTGTGTTTTGATATAATATAAATGTAGGGATCTGACTCATGGGTCTGATACAGACACATGATATAAAGGAGGATGCTATTTTTGATACTTCTAATCTTATAAAATGGGTTGGCTTTTAATTACATATCTCAAGGCTTCTGTTTTTTTTTTTTTCTGTGATTTTCTGATGTTCTTCTATTAAATTGCCCTTGGCTTATCAGCTAAATCATGTTCATCTTTACTACAACTTATAACACCAATAGTTAACATACAAAAAGCACACCCACATTCTGAAATTGCACCTACCTTCACAAGTGAGTAGATCAAATATCTAGCAAATTTAAGTGACACTGAAATTAAAAATTTTTAATGAATCTTTCCTAATCACTGAAATAAGAAAGAAAATTATTTTAATTTTTTGTGTTCCTGGGGTGTTGTACTACTCTGCAGCATTTAACATGAATGTTAAAATGGGTCAGAAATGTTGCTATTGAGAGGAAGGAACCAGGAGATATTCATTTTAATACCCTCAACACTGACATATAAATATATGATGCCCAGTTTTTTTTTAGAATTTAATTGTTGAATAGAATCAGGATTTGTATAAGTGTGTGTTTATGCATGTATATATGTGCATAAGAGAGAGTGTGTGTGTGGAAAGAGCAGGAGCAAGGAAAAGATGAAGGAAGAGAGGGAGAAAGATTTTTATTATGTATGTGGTTGCATGTAACTTTTCCAGGTAGTTATTGCACAATAAAAAGACCCAGAGAGTCTTAATCCCTTGTTCTACACGAGAAGAAAAGGAGCATCTCTTGCTCCCAAAGAAGCTGAAGAGAAAATTGTCAATGTGTAGGAAGAAGACTATGTTTGCTAGCGTTGAGGGGAGGTTGCCAAGAATGAGAATTCAGAGCGTTTGCAGAAATTTACTTGGAAGAGTCTGAGAAAATAGGGTGATATATCATGACATACACAGTACAGAGTCAGCCTCATTCTCATCCTTTTTTTAAAACCTGGCCTCCACTTTTATTTATTTCGTTATTTAAAAAATTTTTAAATTTAATTGTTGTTTAAGTACAGTTTTCTGCCTTTTACTCCCATCCTAGCCCAACCCCCAGTGCTCCCCACCTCCCTCCCATTTCCACTCCCCCTTAGTTGTTGTCCATGTGTCCTTTATACTAGTTTCTGTAAATCATCCCCTTTTCCCCTGAAATTTCCTCTCCTCTCCCTTAATGTGCCTGTTTTATCAACACATGACACTTCATTAGCTGAGGAGAATGTTTCCAGTGTCGTGGCTGAGGGCACTGTTTTCTGACAGTAGAGTTCAAACCCAACAGGACACCTACCTTCTCACAGTTTTGGTTAGAATGCTTGATTTCTTGCTGCAGGCACCTCAGTGCCACAAACAATGGCAGAGAGTGTGAGGCCAATAAGCTCAAGGATCCTTCCTGGAGGGCATGGACGTAATTTACCTTTCTCTAGAAATGCACATTGACAAAGAGCTCAGTCTATGGCCATACCACCCTGAACACACCCGATCTCGTTTGATCTTGGAAGCTAAGCAGGGTCGGGTCTGCTTAATACTTGGATGGGAGATAAAGATCTCAGCCCCAGGCTTCATTTCAAAAGCTCAGCTGATACTAGGTATTTTTCCCCTTTAATGCCCACCAACACTCAATTCATTCGGTGTGATTTTTCTTTTACCTACTAGCTCTACCTAAATAGCTCAAGAGTATTTATATGGACTTTGAAACCATTCAAACAAGTCTAAAAATCTTGCTACCATCTACAAGCTGAAGACCCTTGGAAAAATTCCTTACTTTTCTAAGTCTGTTATCTTTTTATAAAATTGGCCTAATAAATTTTACCTAAATGACCCATTTTAACAACAAATAAAACCAATGTGTGTAAAGGACTAGATCATCATGTGTACTCAATAAATAATAATTTACATTATTAGTCCTTCCCCCAATTTTTTTTCTGTTATCCCAAAATAAAAATCTCACAAATAACTTACTTGATTGTAAAGAGTCCACTATTTATAAATAACTCATGGGGGCTACAAGGTGAGGTGAAGAAGGTATGGAGTGGTGGGCGACAATAGAATATTATGAAGTAAATGAGTAGCTAGGGCTTCACATTTGGACTTACTTCTCTGGTTCTCTGGATGCATAGGTAAGTCAGTGCAGCTCAGTTCAAAAGTATATCATGTTCTTCTCTCATTCTTACAGACTTCTCAAGCTTGATAGGATTAAGCCGTTGATGGGAATGGGTACCTTCTTTCAGGCACTGTCATGACTGGACCACTGGATAAGTCTGATCTAGCAGGTGTATTAGAATATTGGGACTCCAATAAAAATCCTTGAGTATGTTTCCATAACGTAGTAGGTACACAGCAGGCCAACTTAGAACTGACAACCTCTAGATTTACCAGCATTATGTGGGAGAAAAAATAAGATAGTAATGCCGACCAAATGTAGTATATGTACATCATTTTCTTTGGATAAGTCACAGCTCCACTCCCAACCTCAAATGTATGACAGTGACCTGCAATAATCTACTCTCTCAGACGAACCACGGCAAACCTAGTTACTGGGTCTGGTTCCCTGCCAACAATTTGCTAGCCAGAACAATCTCTATAGTGACAGCAGAGGTGGTTATGCTACTATAATACTATTTGTGGGAAGGCCATGAAGGATATATTAAGTGATCTGTGTGTTAATGTGTGTGCATGTGTGTATGAGAGAGAGAATTATTTGTTGGTACATCACTGTGCTCACCTGCTGATGTCTGTTCCAATCCCTTATGCTCTGTGTATTTGTTTGTGAAGAGAATGGAGAGTAGTGCTGTGGATCACTCTCAGCAAAGGGGAGCCACTATCTCCTTCTATTTTCATTTACTTCTCTGCAGTATCTCATCTCCCCTGTCTATGCATTTTTATCCTTCTAATATCTCCTCTCCAAGTTCTCACTTAGAACAATATTACAACATAAATTCAGGTGCTCAACATGGTGACCCAAGCCCATTCAAGCCTCTGGTTCCCAAGTTTGTCCTGCTACATGGAGAAAACCTTTATAGTGAAATGATAGTATCCCAGGTCCAAGCATATACCAGAATCCCTGAGCTTAACCTCCAGAGTCCTCTGGGCATATACATGGGCTCCTGGGTCATAAAGCTTATCGGGAGGACAACTCATTGTTCCTCCCTATTGCATCTGCAGAAAAATGTCATCATACTAGATGTAACTTTGTAGCTCAGGGGAAGGGATATCTCATGAGCTGTTAGGAAGAGAAATTTCCCAAATGGAAAGGAATCTGTATGGGGGATGATATTGATTTTCTCTCCTTTAGAAGTCATAAAACTATTGAGTTTATACCATTAAGTCTTCAAAATGTGACTTCTTAGGAAACTCCTTAGCAATTCTTCTGCTTTGTTTAGTGTAAAGAAGTGAATCCTGATGCAATTTAGCATTGTTACAACTATAGTTTCAAAAGTTGAAGAAGACCCCTGGTAAACACAATTAGACTCCGTGAGAACACTTTTTTTTAAGGTGTTTGTACCTGTAGATAATAGTTTCAACTTTCTTCCAACCCAGCATGATTCTCCTCCCCAATCTGTAACTAATAATAAACAGATAAATTCTTTGTAGAAGGACTTTCCCTGTGCGTTAGCTCCTTTGGCAAACAGTAATGAAAACTCCACATTCTCATGAGAAAACAGAATTCAAGTAGAGCTCAAAGTGTAGAGTTTTCTTAGAGTCTCTGTTCTTGGATGATGATGGAGTAGACCTGTTAGTACCAGGATATGTCATAAATCATGGTTTTCCTAAGTACAGCTAGAAAAAGACTGAGGGACAATTGAATGCACTAGACAATTTTTTTTATTTTTAAACATAGCTGACATACAATATCATATTAGTTTCAGATGTACAACATTGTGATTCAACATTTATATACCTTATGAAGTGATCACCACAATAAGTCTAGTAACCATCTGTCACTGTGCATAGTTACTACAATATTATTGACTATGTTCCTTATATTGTATAAATTACATCCCTGTGACTTGTTTTTTAACTGGAAATTTTCACCCCTTAATCCCCTTTTCTTTTCCAGTTTTTATTTTTTATTTATAAGTTCAGACAATTTCAAGTTGTCATGAGAGAGAAGATAATGTGGTCTGGTCCAAAAGAGGGTCTGGTTAAATCTGATATGTTCTCATTTTAATTATTTCTCTCTTTGATTAACAAGAAATGTATTCCCTGGTCTCTGGTCACTCCCTCATGATATACCTCCCCCCCACTGTGTCAACATTTATCTTCATAAATCAAGACTGACATTACCTAATCTCTTAAAATTCTTTTCTATGACCTTGATTTCTCCATTGTACACAATAGGTTTTATATCATAAAGTATAAACACCATTCTTATCAAAGTCTTTTAGTTAATACTCAATCAACCTTTTAAATTTTAATTCTATTTCACTCTTTAAAATACTACCCTGTCTTTAATGAGCAAAATTCTATGTATGAAATAACTGCTGCTCATTTCCACTTTCCTTCAACTCTGACTCAATGACCATGGCCTCCATGATGGTATTCTGTATAAATCAGCTAGATCTGATCCGTGTGTCTCTTGTATTCTCATATCTGTGTGTACTGCAATCATGACATGCACATTTTCCCCTTTAACTTAGGGTTTCTGCCTTTATAATTTTTCTCAATTTTTTATTTTGTTAGAGTACATTTTACATATAATTTACTGTCTTAACCATTTTTAAGCATGTACTTCAGTAGTACTAAGTGCACTTATTTTTGTACGACATGGCCACCATCCATCTCCAGAACATTTTTTATTTTGCAGAAACTGAAACCCTGTACCCACCCAGTAAACTCTCCAAGATCCCCTTCCCCTGGCTCCTGGCACTGCCTCTCCTTTCTCTTCATGCCACAGCATTTGATAACCATCATTCTAATTTCTGTTACTGTAAATTGAGTTTTTTAAAGAATCCAAATAAAACTGAGATTATGCAATATATATTTTTAACTAAAAAATTTAAATTACAACTGACAGCAGAGGGCAAAAGTAGTTTTACAGTTGTGAATATATGAAACATAGAGTTTATTCTTGTATTATTACTTATTAATTATTGTATTATTTTTCCATATAAACAACTGTAAACCCACTTTTCTCAAGCTCTATATTAGTTTCAGGTATACAAGCATGGTGGTTAGACATTATCTAATTTATGAAGTAATCCCCCAATTAGTCTAGTATCTACCTGACACCATACATAGTTATTACAATATTATTGACTATATTCCCTATGCTGTACTTTACATCTCTATTACTATTTTTATTGCAAATTTGTACTTCATAATTCATTCACCCTTTTCACCTAATCCTCTAACTTCTCTCCTTTCTGGCAACAATAGTTTGTTCTCTGTATGAGTGATTATGCAATTTGTCTTTATTTGACGGACATTTCACTTAGCATAATGTCCTCAAGTTCATGTTGTTGCAATGGCAGAATTTTCTTTTATTTTTAAAGGCTGAATAATATTCCATGGCACATATAGGCCATATTTTCTTTATCTTTATTGAAATTTTCTGTTTAGTCAGTATATTTTGAAGCTTCAAGATTTCTGTTTGGCTTATTTTTATATCTATTCCTTTGTTAGACTTCTCATTTCATACATACATTGTTTCACTGATTGCATTTAGTTGACTGTTTTTTTCTTGTAGTGTACTGAGTTTTAAGATGATTGTTTTGAATTCCTTGTCAAACAGTTCATGGATCTCCCCTTCTTTAAGTTCAGTTGTTGGAGCTTTATTAGTTTCCTTTGCTAGTACCATGTGTGTGTGATTCTTTGTGATCCATGTAGCTTTGGGTTGGTATGTGTATTTGAAGGAAAAGACATCCCACTTCCAATTTTTAGCCTGGCATTGACAGGTGAAGTCTTTCCCCTGCTGGGTCCCTGAACTGATGGGACTACCTCTGAGATCATGATTGGACAGAGCTGGAACCAGGTATCATCTGGTTTGCAGTCATTCCACAGCTGGCAGACTTATTACCAGGGTTGCAGATGGGTGTAGATAGGTCTCTGAGCATGCTCCCATTGAGTCTTTGGGATGGTCTCTATTTGGGCAGAACTGCCTCTGGTCAGTGGTAGAGTGAGTGGGTATCAGGTCATGAGACTGCTTTAAGTTTCAGGTTGTTGCCTGTTATAGGGGTCACAGATGGGCATGGTACCTCCTGGAACCCCTGGCAGAAGCAGCTATCAACAGGACTGCAAACAAGTGGGGCTGGGGCCGAGTTCACAGGAGACAGCTTTGTGTCCAGCGTGTAGTCAGGGCCACTGTCAACTAATTTGCTATTGGCTCCCTTCTCAAAGCAGTCGTTCTCTGCCATGGGCTCTACATGGGTTTACAATCTCCCACCTGGATTCCAAAGCTCCAATATGCATTGCCATCCTTGAATGGTTGCCAGATGTTTGTTTCTATGGGGGGAACATGGGCTAGAGAAACAATATGAACTAACATGTTCACAATTTTTTATCATAATCAATTTAATTTCACATATAATTTTCATTTGTTCCACAAACATTTTTTAAACTCCAAGAAAAAAAGGCCATCACAGAAGACACAATATTAAATTTACTAGTTCAAGAATGAGAGTGTATAAAATGAGAGGCAGGCTTATAAAAAACTTTATAGAATTAGAAACTTGAGAGCATAGAAAGAACCCCCCCCAAAATAGTCTAATTCCCATCTTTTACTTGTATACACTTCAGAAAAAAATTATACTATTCATTTTTAGGCAGTACTTTATTATTTGTATTATTTATAGAAACTTTTTGCATTTTTAAAAAGATTTCATTTATTTATATTTTTAGAGAGAGGAGTAGAGAGGAGAATTAGAGGGAGAGAAACATTGATGTGTGAGAGAAACATAAATCAGTTGCCTATCACATGTACCCAACCCAGGACCCAGCCCACAACCAACCATGTGTCTTAACCAGGAATCAAACTGGCAACCTTTCACTTTGTGGGATGATGCTCAACCAACAGAGCCATGCCAACGAGGGCTGCATTTTCCTTCATAGTTGTCATTGGTCATGTGACTTATAATTGAACCACTGTATGTAAGAAATCTAGAACAGCATACACTCTTCTTTCTTTCTTTCTTTCTTTCTTTCTTTCTTTCTTTCTTTCTTTCTTTCTTTCTTTCTTTCTTTCTTTCTTTCTTTCTTTCTTTCTTTCTTCTCTCTTTTTCTTTCTTTCTTGTTCAGTAACAATTGTCCCATTTTCCCCCATTACTCTCTCCTGCTCTACCTGCCCCTCACCTCCCACATTAAATCCCCCAGCCTTTGGCTTTGTCCATGGATCCTTTATACATATTCCTTTACTTGGCCCTTCTCCTTCTTTCCCCCGTTATCCCCTTCCCCCCTCCCTTCTGGTCACTGTCAGTTTGTTCTTTATTTCCATGTCCCTTGTTCTATTTTGCTCACTTGTTTTGTTGATTAATGTTAAATTCTTCCTTCAGTGAATTAAAGTTCTTCTCTTTGAAAATTTCTCTTGTATGACATTTTACACCTGAGGTCAATAATGAATATCATTGCAGGTATATATTCAGATACACAAAAACACAAATGCTTCCAACAATTATAGCCAATTATATATATATATATATAATTATACATATAATACAATAAATATATATATATCACAATTAATTTTGGTAAAAGAAATTTATTATTTTAAAGTAAAGCTTTTGGCAATATTTATTGTAATATAATTTTATATAAAAATATTTAATTTCCTCTGGATAATCAAAGCTCCCAGATATCAAATCTGAGGAAGGCAAAAGGGAGTTTGGGGACAAGGGTAGAAAGAG